GGAGACTATTTGGTCTTGAATTGTTCTGAATGCAATAATTGGATAACAAATTGTTCACATCTGTTCTTCAGGAATCATACCGCCGACCTCATCGCAGACGCGTTGGAGTTCATGTACACACCATGGCCTGACAATAGCGATAAATACGCACTGAGAAGCCAGCTGGTGGACATCATCGGTGATTCGGTGTTTGTCGCACCAAGTCACGAGGTCGCTGACATTCACAGTCAACACGCTCCCGTGTACATGTACGAGTTCGCTCATCGTTCAAATAACGCCAGTTTCTACCCTGAGTGGATGGGTGTTGTCCACGGGGAAGATCTACCTTACGACTTCGGAATCCCACTGTTACCAAGGTTTTCCGAATATAACGTTGTGGACAAAAACATCAGTTTGTTTGTTATGGCAGTCTACGCCAACTTCGCGAGGACTGGCGATCCAACACCCCAGCCAGTCAGCGGTGTTACTTGGGAGAGGTACAACACCAGTCATAGAGCGTACCTGCGAGTCGACGCCAGTCCCAAGATGTCGGCGGCGTTTGCCCCGCGTCGGATGGCTTTTTGGAACGAGTACAATCCTAAACTGATGCAAGTGAAGTTTGATACCAAAGACGAAGTGACCAGCGGTGCTAGTGCTGGTGTTGCCATGGCAACTTTTCATCAGGTTGCCCTCGTCATCAGTTTGGAGTTGTTTTACTTAAGACTGGTTGGGCTGATGTGAAATCAAACCAATCTTTAAGACACTTATCACGTGCGCTGCTAAACCGCTTCACTGTTGATAATTTTCATAACATCATGTAGTTTTATGATTAATTATATTTTATATTTCCAACGGCTGATTCAATCTGTCGCCAAAATCTCAAACCTCTTTGCTTTCATGGCCAGAATCATAAGTGGCGACTGTTGTATTTTGTTATTTTTGTCATATAAACCTCGTATACATTTATTTCTCGGTTTGTTTTTTCTGATCTTACTGTCTTATCTCCTTTTACGTTTAAAATTTTTTTCTATACTTTTCGTTATTACGTATATAGCCGCTACAGTGGAACCCCGTCTTACGGACATCCCGTTAATACGGCCACTTCGTTATTACGGCCACTTTATCCTGGCACAAAAAAAGGCTCAGTCAGGCATTTTCTTGTTTAATGAACCCTTTTAATACGACCAGATTTTTGTAGCCCATGGCCATGTGTGACCGGATTAACGGGGTTCCACTTTATATCATGCATATAGTTATCTTGTCATCTAAGATTGCTTAAGTTTTGAGGGAGTGAAAGAGCCCAGCTGTTAACTCTTTAGCTGTGTTCCAAGATTCTTCTCCTTTCTCAAATAACTTTTTAAGTCTTTAACCATCATATCTGGTACTTGAACAATACAAAGTTGATAAGGACGAACGACACTATTCACTTGACTCTGAAGATGACGTCCGCTCAGGTTGTCGAAAGCGCAGTCACTAGCCCCATCCGGACGATCACACTGTACGAACTACTGGTATTCCTGGATTCACACCATTTACTATGTTACAAAGTTAACAAGTTGCCAAACAAAACAACCAGTTGCTGGAGGGATTCTAAAAAAGCTATCTTCACGACCCATAGAGTGTCAATGAAAATTCAGTGAGAATCAAAGAAAATTCTAAAAATGTGGCCGCAGTCGAAAAATTGATTTCGCTCATTCTTTACCAGTTTGAAGGCCTAGGTAAGTAACTGAAGGAAATCAAGTTAGTTTTTTGAAATATCCAATATAACGGCAGAAATCAGTCACGAAAAACGGTCATCGTACCGAAAGCTCAGATTTCACTTTGCGATAATCCGAAATTTTACACTTTTCAGCTTCTGGCTACTCCGACGTTTACATCGCTGTGAAACGTACTCAACTTTAAATGTATACATTGATTCTTCCTTAATCAAGATATAGCAATTATTTTCATTTCTTGCGTTTTCCGAGCGAACTGAGCCCCGATTAAGTAGACACATTTTTCTAATTAAAACAAAACTCAAAAATTATGCAAATTCAGAAAGGGAACATGCTGACCGGTAGTGCATTGAATCGTCTGATATTCTACTTAAAGATAGTTCAGTCAATGAATTTTAGGTTTACAGTTTCATTTTTGTGGGATCTACTAGCAATTTTGCATGAACGCCGATCAAAAGTCGAGAAAATTACAATTCAGCGCCATTGAATTTGCCATGTAACGTAACACGACAAGAAAATTAGAGCAGATTGTCTTTAACGTTCGAAACACTTTAAAAGTAGTATTTAACTTAAAAACGTCGCCGCAAGAGTTTAAAAAAAAGAGAGAAAAAGAAACACTGAACTTTTAAATCATCCTCTCTATCTCCCTCGCTGCCCAGTGTCACGCTCGAGGGAACACAAATTTTTTAAAAATCCATTTGTTCACCAGTCAAAAGGAATCAAAGTTTATAAGACGACACTTGTCGTTGATGTGCGAAACCTTGCATTAATAGAGTGATTTCACAAACCCCGATTCTTATCTGCTAATTAGAATCTTCCAATGCTAATGAGTGTGTACAAAAAGATAAAACTCCCGCACGTGCGCCTACAACAGGAAGATAAACATGAACAGATCTAGATGCAATTTGTGTTCACGATCCAGATGCTGCTTGGAAACGTTCATAAAGCTAATCTACAACAACTGCAATAGGTCTGTTATTCGATGACAAGAACAAATAACTCGGATGACTAAGTGTCCACGCAAAAACGTGCCCAAACAAGAACTAATTTCGTTTTAGCATTCAAAATTACTCTGCGACTACAGACGGTTCTGTACGTAAATAGAACGTGTGCATTTGTGGAGAACTGTTCAAGTTGCGTTTCGCCGTATCTTCTAGACTGTTTTGAAGAGTCTCAACCTTCTTTCAGATAAAAGAGCAACTAACTCCACGCACACAGGTATGAGCCAGCGTGGGTGCCGCCAAATCTGGCCTATCGCTTTGTAGGTTTTCATTTCCTTAAAAACGTGCTCTATTTTTACCCTCCTCTTAGACAGGAGCGTGTTAAACCTTCGCGCTCGCCTTCTGTCCCTGTGATTTAATAAAGGCATCCGGTGAGCTCTTACGGGTGTCAGTAGTGACCCACCACCTGGATACGCCTTATCAGCTAGAAGCTTTGCATTGGGTGGTAGATCCAAGTTGCGCCCCGGACCAATAGGTTCCATCAGTCGAAAGGAAACCGCATCGTGCGTGCTCGCTAGGAATCCAGCCTGAACAAAGCGGATATGTCCTTCATTGTCCATCACTAGTTGAGTGTTCATACAGTGATGCTGACAGTGCCGATAGCCACTATAGAACGACCGCTGTGGTTCAATTAGAGGTCGATAGATCTCATGTGGTGTGGTGTCTTTTGCACCCACTACATTAGGAAATTCTTCCCAATTTCCCATAAGATTTCTCCATTCATGGGGATGGGGTCAACTTATTTGATTTTGAAAGTAGCGCCAAAGTTCTGGAAGAACTTTGCAGACAATGCGGACAACAGATGACGGATCAATGTCAAACCAAAGAGAGAGTGTGTCCACAAGGGGATATTTCCGTAACCAAATAATCGTAACCAAATAAGTAGGACTTGGTTGATTAAGGTTATTTTCTGGCGGCGTTGGGTAATGCGAGGCTGTCCACATGCGGTTAAACTGGAAAGAGAGGGTAAAATATCCAAGGCTAGCCTCAAAAACGAACCCGGCGTCTCGCCAGTGTTTCTCCAAAACAACCATGCTTGTCCTGATATTAGAAAAAATACGTCACGACCATAAAAAGTACATCCACGAAAATCCGGAAATAAACGCTGCTGCAAAGGAAACGTACCATCGTCTAATGGAGGCTGTAGTTATTAAAAGCAACACAAATGTCAAAATATTCAACACCACCGCTTGGACCTCTTGTACGTCCATTTTTATTTACAACAGTGATTCCAAGGTAGATTTAATTGCGGATTTGAGAAAGTTTAATTACGCTATTGTTTGTCAGTTTGAAACTGGTTAAATAATATCAAAGAATTTGCACATTTTGCACGTGCGCAAAATTTAAAACATCATTTTGCGCCGACAGTCATCCTTTTAGCAAGTGCCAAGCAAGGTTTTTCTCAAAACGTCAAATTTATGGGACGCAGAAGAAGAGTCGGTGCGCTCTGAAAATAACCAGGATAAAGGTAACAGCTTCAGCTGATATTGTTTATAAATGTTTTGACACAAGGACGACTAGAAACTAAATAAAAGTTCCCTTTCCAGCCCAGAACCAATTTTCTACAGGCCTTTCTTCCTTTCGCTTGATTCTTCAAACAGGTGCTCAAAGGAAACGCGTTTCTATCGGAGAAGATGAAAAGCGCTTCATCGTGGAATGTTATAACCTCTGCCACGGCAAGGACTGGAAGGAGGTGTTGCTCTTTGCCAAACAAAGAGTCATTGAGGCGGGATTGTCTGACCACGTTGTGAGGACGTATCTGGAACAATCAACAGATCGCTTGACGGGGAGAATGCGTTATGAATGCTTTGCGATCGCCCCAACCTGCCACCCAGCCAGCAACGTCGCCAGGTCTAGACGAAACGCCTGCCTTGATAGCTAGGCAAACAAAGTATTCCACGCTTATGATTCCAAGTCAACGAAAAGCGGAAGTTGTTAAAAGAAAACTTGGCAATGAATTGGTCGCTTCATCACTGGATAGTTCAGAAGAAGAGAATGGTAGGCACGAGGAGAAGAAGCGAAAGATTGATCACACAAAAGAAGCACAACTTGCCCATCAAAAAATGTGTCAGAAAGCCATGGACACCATGCATGAACAATGTGAACGACTTGCTCACCAAAGTGAATACCTATTTAGACAAGACCAAAAAATAAGGAAGAAAAAAAAAAGCCATGTTGTTACTCCATATTTAATTGGCCTGTTTAGGGTTTGTTTAACGCATTTTGACCACTGAAATATAGTTCCTGTTTGAGTCTGTTTTGCTCGGTGCACATAGCTAAGCTTTCTAAATCGGTTCAAGGTTCAAGCGAACCTAGATTGTAATGAGATCGAGAGCGCTTCTGTTCGATAAAAAGAGATTAAAACATTGGAAGCATTGTTGTTTGTGTTTGCGGGAAACCATCTCGAAATTTAGGAACGGTGTACTTTAGAACGTACTGGCTCTATTGTTCTTGCACATTAGCATTTAAGGATTTTAATTAGCATACAAGAATCGGTGTTTGTGAAATCACTCAGAGAGGATTGCCCACTTATCCTACTCAACAAAGTAAAAAAGGCGATCTAAAAATGTATCGATGGAAGTGTAAAAAGGCAAACGATTGACGATTACCGCTAACTTTTAGGAGCGAAATTTAGGAGCCGTAATCGCTACAGCGGAAAAAAACTCCGGCCGTATCGTAAAAAGCTGGACCGGTCACGAGCGCGTGATTAGCCAATCAAATTTGAGGATTTAGGATTCCGGTCCGTTTAGATGCTGGAGAAAAAAATAAATTACTCTTATTGGTCGGGTGATGGTGAAGGTACCATTATTGACCGGTTGGTTGTAAATTTATAAAGATTACCCTTATTGATCGGGTGGTGATAAAGTTACCCTTATTGATCGTTTGGTGGTAAAGTTACCCTTATTGATCGGCTGGTGGTGGTAAGGATCACCTTTACTGATCTGGTGGTGGTAAAGACTACCCTTATTGATTGGTTGGTGGTAAAGTTACCCTTATTGATTGATTGGTGGTAGAGTACCTTTTTTGATCGGGTGGTGGTAAAGCTACCTTCAGTGATCTGTTGGACATAAGGATTGCCCTTATTAAGCAGCTGGTGATGTGATTAAATTACCCTTATTGATTAGTTGGTGGTA